CCAGACATAGCTTGTGCTATAAGTAAACTGAGTCGATATACGAGCAATCCAGGCCAATCTCATTGGATGGCAATGAAACGAGTTTTGGGATATTTAGAACATACCCAGAACTTTGAATTGCACTACAGTAATTTCCCTGCGGTGATTGAGGGATACTGTGATGCAAATTGGATCACCGGTTCAACTGATTCTAAGTCCACGAGTGGATATGTATTCACTATTGGTGGAGGAGCGGTATCTTGGAAGTCGTCCAAACAAACATGTATTGCCCGCTCTACAATGGAGGCTGAATTCATAGCCTTAGATAAAGCCGGTGAAGAAGCTGAATGGCTCCGGAATTTCTTGGAAGACATTCCATTTTGGCCCAAACCGTTGGCACCAATATGCATACATTGTGATAGTCAAGCGGCAATTGGAAGGGCTGGGAGCGTCATGTATAACGGTAAATCTCGTCATATACGACGAAGACATAAAACCGTTAGGCAATTACTCTCTAGAGGAATTATCACAATTGACTATGTAAAGTCAAGTGATAATGTGTCGGATCCACTTACAAAAGGCCTAACTAGAGAGGTAGTTGAGAAATCATCAAGGGGAATGGGGCTATGGCCGAGAACAAGTCATTGTGGCGGTAACTCTACCTAGAAGACTGGAGATCCCAAGATCTAGGTTCAAAGAGATCAAACAAAGTCATTAATGACGGTTCAACATTGTCAAATAAAATTTTAGTCCATTCTCGTGATGAGACAATGTTCAGTACCAAGGATAAAGCATTAAGGCTTTTTAATGATTTCTAAATTTGATACGGGGTATATCAAATAGTGTATCTACAGGATGACACGTTTAGGAATCACCTATTTAAGTGTGAAGTGTGAGCCGCTTCAAGGAGAACTTTGTAAGGCCAGTTCTCTACGCACTTATGAAACCAGGCGGTGTTCATGGCTGAAACGAACACAACAATGAGAACCAAAGACGGTTAAGGGTTGATTGTGTGACTTATGGTTGTCTAGGTATACACCAAAGATCGACGGTTCAAAGATATCAAATCTACCGATTGACCGAGTATATCCGACATAAGTTTACTACGGAAAGTTCAAAGGGAAACCTACTTATCCAGATGCGATTAATCATTGCTTGCAAATCACATAGTTTTTCCATGCATACTTCCGTGATATAGACATTCCCCATTCATGTGGGGGATTGTTGAGGTTTTATTTTTAAGATGAAATAGTCTTAAAATGAGGGTGAATGGGAAATGGAGGGAAAATAAAATTTTTGAGTAAAATTTTTAGTTTTCTCCTCTTGACAATGAGACATTGTCCCATATTGGAAGAAGAAAATATTTTTGGTGGGTATATATATAATTGCGCTTCTTGTAGCTCTTAAAGAGTTAAGAAGAAAGCAAGCCTCGCGCCGTCGTCGTCGTCGCTCGCTCGGCTCGGCTTCGGCTACGGCTTCGGCTTCGGATTCGGATTTGGATTTGGATTGGTCAAATGATCGATTGATTGATTAATTTTTTGGACAAAATTTATTTGTTAATAGTAAATATTAACGTAAGATTATCCGCATTTGTAACGGATATTTTCCAATCCGTGTATTGACCACCAGCTGCAATAGCAGCCGCCTTATGCTCTTCCCACCATGGCCAAGTGCTTGCTCCATAAATAAGTTAGTGTATGCTCCACCATGGAGGATGGAGGGTCGTTCATCTTTAAAGCTGGCTGCTATATATATGTGCATTAACTGTTGAAGAAAGACACGAATGAAAATCGAAAAACACCAACAAACAAAACTGAAAACGCTCAACTTTGGCTATAAAATTGCACTCCTTCCTCTTAGCATTTCTATACGATTTTATGAGTTTCTACTCCTTTGTTCTGCATTGTTTTAACTTCAAACAAAGCAACTATAAGTGTGATTTGCTACCAAACTTTGTGTTCGCTGAAACACTGGGGTTTGAAGTGCCGCTACACCAGTATGTGATTCGTTCTATCCTGGGAGGAAATAATCCATAACCTTGGGTACTAGGAGGGGATTAAATTCCTTAAGGAAACACTGTGAATTCAGTGGGCTCGAATTAATTACTGTTTCATTACGATAACTTATATTTTACAGAATTATTATTTACAAATACAGCAATATTGGCGGGACTAACACTAACAACTATGCAATAGGTGTATGCTTTATTAATCTATCACAATGCAGACAATCCCATTTAACCCGCCACTACATCTGTGGGAAAGGGAAACTGGATTCCTTATTGGATATTTGTATACTCGTAAAATGTTACAATTGAATTTAAACGTGATTTTTAGACAAGTGAATTAATTTGATCATGAAATAATAAAATAATCAAAAATTATGCAATACTTAGCCTTAGGATATAGACGAAACACAACAAAAGCAATAATTCAGGGAACAGGATTTTCGGGCACCACAACAACGAAATCAAAAAAGTAAGAAAATAAGATTGTATTGAGTTTTGTATATAATGTAGTGTAAGTTTGCCAGAAAATTCGTGTCCTCTACAATGACAACTGAGCTAATTATTTATAGCTATGAAGGAGGTCCTAGGATCGTGCCCTTCTTTAATGTCAATTGTGAGGGGCATTGATGAAGATGTAACGGTAAATATAAATACCAAATTCCCTATAACGGGTAATTACTCTTAATGCCATGGAATATTCTCTATTAAATGCTACTGGACGAAGAACATTTATCACATATTTATGAGCGTTATTCTTTCCGGTGACAAACGAAACAGTTGCTTTTGGTCTTTGGCCAACTCCCCGTCTAAGGTTACACGTGTCCCTTTTTTGGATGGCCACGTGTCATAGCATATTTTACCCTATACAGATAGTCCCCTGCTTTCCGATGATATAACTTTGTGTTACCAGAAAGTTGGTAGAAACAATTCTTTGGCGGGAATTACTATAATTCCCTCTGAAGGCTTCTGACGATTAATTAGACGTACATCTCTCCGTATTTAATGTCCCGAACACGCGTCATCCCATGATTCAGCACAACTTTTGCCGATTATCGAGGTAATCGTGGCCATGAATTTAGCCGCCAAAACTTTTACTTATACGTATCAACTTTCTCCCTTATACTTCATAATGTTTCAAGCTTCCCTTATCTAACTTGCAACTTGCTTTTCATCTTTTCTCTAATTCTCTTCAAACGAAAAACCTTCTCCTTCTTCCATACAATGGCTTCTTCCTCAAAGCGTATCGATTTTTCAAAAAGCAAGAACAAGGCCGAGGACTCTGCTCCTCCAACAGTGGGCTTCATCATCCCTAGAAGTCTTATTACCACAAAAGACTTCGAAGAGAAATTCCCTACTGCTAACTCTCGTACATGGGCCGTCAGTAGGTATCCTTTTTCCATACGTCCTTCTAGAATTCCTGCTGTGAAGGAAGACTGCCGCTGTCATGAGTTGGAAATTATTGCTCCTGATCTATCAGAGCGATGATATAACTTTGTGTTACCAGAAAGTTGGTAGAAACACTCTTTTGGCGGGAATTACTATAATTCCCTCTGAAGGCTTCTGACGATTGATTAGACGTACGTCTCTCCGCATTTAATGTCCCAAACACGCGTCATCCCATGATTCAGCACAACTTTTACCGATTATCGAGGTAATCGTGGCCATGAATTTAGCCGCCAAAACTTTTACTTATACGTATCAACTTTCTCCCTTATACTTCATAATGTTTCAAGCTTCCCTTATCTAACTTGCATCTTGCTCTTCATCTTTTCTCTAATTCTCTTCAAACGAAAAACCTTCTCCTTTTTCCATACAATGGCTTCTTCCTCAAAGCGTATCGATTTTTCAAAAAGCAAGAACAAGGCCGAGGACTCTGCTTCCTCAACAGTGGGCTTTATCATCCCTAGAAGTCTTATTACCACAAAAGACTTCGAAGATAAATTCCCTACTGCTAACTCTCGTACATGGGCCGTCAGTAGGTATCCTTTTTCCATACGTCCTTCTAGCATTCCTGTTGTGAAGGAAGACTGCCGCTGTCATGAGTTGGAAATTATTGCTCCTGATCTATTAGAGCGAGTCACCCTACCCAAGGAGGGTTTTACATATTTTTACACGTATACCTTTACTTTGGGTGCGTTCTCTTTGAGCAGAGAGCTTGACTCCGTGATTGTGGAGTTTTGCCTCCACTACCTAGTGTGTTTGGCACAAGTAAGTCCTTCTGTGTGGAGGACGGTTGCTTGCCTTCGGTGTTTGTGCCAGGAAACTGGAGAGGAGCTAACCTTAGCTCATATGATGAATCTTTATTCTCCCAAAATCTTCTGCGGGGGAATGATAAACCTCTACAAGCGTGGCCACCATGCTCTATTGTCTAGCATGGATGATGAAAATGACCGTGGGTGGATGGAATGGTTCGTTGCAGCTGCCACCAACGACGTCATTCCGGCAACGGTTCCATCCTTTCCGGCCGCTTGGAACCGCACTCGTAAGCTCTTTGTTTAGTATTTCCTTTTACTAAATATTTTTCTATAGCCGTATTGATCCTCCATCCTTCGTTTGTTTCAGCAACTCGATGGATCCCACTAGTGATTGAATGTTTAGACTGGTGGGTACAAAAGATCTTGGAAGTTACGACTCCCGAGACTCGCTTGTGGAAAGAACTGGCCCCTAAATACGGGTGGAAGGACAAGAATCATGGTAATTCAAACTCACCTTATTTCAATTTTTCATGTGAAGAAATTGATTGATCCCTTCTAACCTGTCTATGAAATTAGGTCTACCCGTGGGCTCTGTTGCTGTTCCCGAGGAGGATGTCTTGGCTGATCCTGTTGATACAATGAGACTGCTTCAGGAGGCGCTTACTCGAACAGGTGGCTCCGGTCCTGCTTCAGGAGCAAATGTTTATTTATGGAGTCCCTGACCGGAAGACAAACAACCAAAGAGAAGACGCTCCTCTACAGTCGGGGAAAAGAATAAGAGGGCGAGGACCGATGCCCCCGAGTCATCTCCGGTAGCGATGGTGACTGAACCTCCTTTCGGGCCGGTCATAGACACCGTGACGATCGGCGATGATGAAGAAGCTAGTGATGAGGGAGCTTCTCTACATAGAAGATGATGATCCTCATCATCTCAACATGATGCTCGACCTGTTGAGAGAGTTACACCAACCGAGGACGATGCCTCGACACTTTTAGGAGAGTTTGATTTGGTAGATAATGTCAACTCCCATTTTCGGGCCCCAATTTCTTTGCCCGGTACTGCGGGGCTGAGTACCAGGTCCCTACCGTCTTTGGTTGGCGAGCATCCAACAAACAAAACTGCATTTGATGCAGCCGCTTCTCACTCTTTAACTCCATCAGCTTCATCTCTATCTTCGCCAACACCAGCAACTGTTACATCACTTCCATCTTCATCCAGTTTTTCACCAGCAATTGCTACATCATCTCCTCCGGCCGTACCTAACCATGAAGAAGGTGTTCCTCTTCCACAGTCTCCGGTTCATGGGAATTTGGGGCAAAATTATGCTACCCCTTTTGAAGTACTACAAAGGAGGAGGAATGTTACTCTTTCGGTCTCTACCAGATGCAACTTGCTATCCCGGCTGGTGGAGCTTGCTAATTATCTGAAGCCTTTGGCTTCAGAGAAAGACTAGGAAAATATTCAGGCATCTCGGGAGAGTGTTTGTTGAACAACGCCATGCACAACGCCACAGTGGTATGTTCCTTTCTTCCTTTATTACTTCTTCTATTTTAGGGTGTGAACATATCCTGAATTTTACCCTTCTTACTTTGTAGGCCAACTTTCTTGCTTGTGAGGGCCTTCAGAGGTTGATTCATGAAAAGGAAGAGATTACCTCTGCACGGGATCAACTTTTGGCAGAGCAGGAGCAACATGTCGCTCGCCTTTCGGAATTGGATGCCAAAGTTGCTGAGGCTGTTGTATTGGAAGCTCGTTTGTGGCAAAGTGAGCAAGAAGTGGTAACCCTTAGCCAAGAAATTGACCCACTAAGGGTTAGATTTGACGAAACCAGGGCCAAATGGGTTGAAGTCCATAACGCCGTTCATTCTGCAATCGAACACGAGGCTTCCTTTGCTGAAAGAGTGATCAATTTAGAGGCAGCCTTGAACTCCAAAATTGAAAAGCTTGCTGCTACGGGGGAAAAACATGCCCTGCTGGAAGAGAAGTACAGGAAAACTATCTAGCATAATAGGCTTTTTAGTTCAATTGTCCACGACCTTGATATTAGCCTCAAATCTGCAAGGTCCGCACGGGAAAACCTTTATGCCGAGGTAACTCAACTCAAATAAGAACTCAAGCACTGAGCGGCTTCCCTCGTTGTTGAGAAAACCTATGTCATGTACAGCATGGGGAGAAAAACCTTGGAAGAGGCCAAAGTTGTTGTCATTGATTTTGATGCTGAAATTGCTAAGGCCCGCGAGCTTGAGTTAGCAGCTAAAAGTGGACTCCCAGCGAGGTCTGATGCACCTGGTCCTTCTAGTTATGGTTCCGAGTTCTCGAGAACTGAAGAAGAATCAGAGGATGATGATGCTGAAGGCCAAACTGGTGAAAATGTTGAGCCATCGGTAGGTCCGTCTACTTCTCCCGGGGGCGCGGACACTTCTCTTCCTCCTGGATCCGTAGATACTGTAGTTTAGCTTTTCTTTTCTTTTTTCGATTCTTGTACCTGCGCCATTTTAACATGTTTTTGTAAATAAAAACATCTTTTGCTCAAGTATTGTTTGAGTCTTCTTTTCGTTTGAATATTCATACAAGTCTTTAATCTTTGCATTTTCTTCCTTTTAAGAATTTTGCGCAAGCTTTTTTGCGTCTTATTATGTGAAGCTTTGGGTATATTCTCCTGAAAGAATTTTTGGCTCAGGGCATCAGCCCTTTTTCATGAGGGCTTTGATAAGTATTTGCGCAAGTTTACTTTTTGCGTCCTTTCGTATACGGCTTCGGGTGTATCTCTTCCCCGAAGGCATTTTTGATTCCGGGCATAAATTATTCTGGAACCAATCCTTTAACGTGAGTGTTTTTATAAGATAGGGCTCTCTTATGTTTATGATGCTCTTGAAGAGGACGACTCCGATTTATTACGGCACTAGCATTTGAAGTACTTGTTTAACTTTCAAATAACAAAGTTAATTCACTGTTCAAAAAAGAAACAAGATAAAAATAAAAGGATTTCATTTTATTCCTTCTATTTTCAAAAAATACATAAGCATTTGCTATGCTGAAAAGAAATTGCCATTACTTCTGGCTAACTTGTACAACTTGTTTCTATGGGGCTGGCCGCGCAGTCTCCTGTCCTGATGATGCAATTATATTTTCGGTTTTTTGTTTCCCGATCGACGTGGAAGTCATTGTTGTCGTATCCTTATATCATTCTCCCCCAGTGTTCGAATGTGAAGAGTGCAAATTGGAATACTGGAAGTCTTGTATCTTCGAAGACTCCACTAATGCATTGCTAGATAATCCTCTAGTGGTTTATGCTCGTGAACGATCATGTAACCTTTGCTCAATAGCAAACTTAACTTCCCGGTGGGAATTTTCTATAGAGCAAAAGATTATCTAACCATGCCTAAGTGGATCTTTGCTTGTGTGCCTTGCTATTAAAGGTCTTATTGATGTTGTCTTCGTAGTATGCTTTTTGTTGCTGCCTCGTTAAAAACCTTGCCAGAAAAACCCAATTGGGATAGAAACTGAACGAAGGGAAAAAGAGTGCAGCACATACTTTCTGATCGAATAATGTTCGTCAGCAATAATATCGTTTGAGGTGTGCCACGTTCCATTTGTTGGGCAGCTTTTCTCCATTTTGGTTTTCCAACTCGTATGAACCTTTTCCGGTGATAGTTGAAACCCGGTAGGGGCCTTCCCACATTGGACCTAGCTTCCCTGCATTGAGCTTCTGGTGTTTTAAGTTACTTTCCTTAGGACAAAGTCCCCTACTTTGAAATAACGGAGGTTGGCTCTTCGATTATAATACCGCCCCATTCTCTGCTTTTTAAGCTTCCATTATTACATGCGCCAAGTCCCTACGTTCATCGAGCAGTTCCAAGTTGACTAACATTGCTTTGTTGTTCGATTCTTCATCTGCCTGGAAATATCTCAAGGTGGGTTCCCCTACTTCCACTGGGGTTAAAGCTTCTGCACCGTACACGAGAGAAAAAGGGGTTTCCCCTGTGCTCGACTTGGCCGCAGTTCGGTATGCCCATAGAACTCCGGGTAATTCCTCAGGCCAGTTACCCTTAGCCACTTCTAACCTTTTCTTGAGGTTTTGAATAATCACTTTGTTCGTCGACTCTGCTTGACCGTTTGTGCTCGGATGACAGGGTGAAGATGTGATCCTCTTTATTTTAAAATCTTGGATGAACTTTGTAATTTTTGCGCCGATAAACTGTGGCCCATTGTCGCATGCTTTCTCTTTTAGTATTCCAAACTTGCAAATTATATTTTCCCACAAGAAATCCACCACTTCACGTTCTTCAATCTTCTGATAAGGACCTGCTTCCACCCACTTAGAAAAATAGTCAGTCAAAATTAAAAGAAATCTTACCTTTTCGGGAGCCGGTGGTAGTGGCCTGACGATATCCATCCCACATTTCATGAACGACCACGGGGACAGAACCGAATGTAAGGGCTCTGGCGGTTGATGCACTAGTGGTGCGTAGTGTTGAGACTTATCATATTTTCGTACGAAGTCTTTGGCATCTTGTTTCATGCGGGGCCAATAATATCATGCCCTTACCAATATCAGCACTAAGGAATATGTGCCCGAGTTGTTGCCGCATATCCCTTCGTGAACTTCTCTCATGACATAGTTAGCTTCGGATGCCCCTAAGCATCGGGCCAGCGGGCCTTGAAAAGATTTTGTATACAATAGGGCTCTCTTGAAGCTATATAGCACTGCTTTGGCGCGCAACACCCGGGATAGTTTGGGCTCTTCAGGTAGCTTCCCGTGTTCGAGATAATCAATGATTTCATTCCTCTAGTCCCAGACCAGATTAGTCGAATTTATCTCATAGTAACCATCTGTATCCAGGACTGAGTTCATCAGTTGTACTACCGTCCTGGACTCTGATCCCTTTATTTTCGTTGATGATCCTAGGTTTGCCAATGCGTCTACTTCTGTGTTATCTTCCCTTAGGATATGAGTAATTGACCACTCCCGGAATCGCGCTAACAGAGCATAAACCTTTACCATGTATTGTTGCATGTGCTTCTCTTTGGTATAGAAGATTCCGTAGACCTAATTTACCACCAGTTGTGAGTCGTATTTGATTTCGATGACCTCAGAGTCAAGTCCCCGGGCCAATTTGAGCCCTGCAATCAAAGCTTCATACTCTGCTTCGTTGTTAGTTAAATGGACCGTCCTGATGGCTTGCCTTAGGGTTTCCCCCGAAGGCGCGATTAATACTATATCGAGCCCGGACCTTTTTACATTGGAAGCTCCGTCCATAAATAAGGTCCAAACCCCTGATGTCGATTCCGACACCATTACTGCCTCCTTAGTTGCTAGAGGAAATAATCTTAGACTGAAATCGACCACGAAATCAGCCAAGACTTGCGACGTAATTGTAGTCCTTGGTTTATATTCTATGTCGAATTCACTCATTTTGACGGCCCATTTGGACAATCTACCCGAAAGCTCAGGTTTATGGAGGATGTTCTGCAAACGAAAAGTAGTCACCAAGGCTATCGAGTGGAATTGGAAGTAGGGCCTCAAATTCTGAGCGGCGACTACGAGAGCTAAGGCCAGTTTCTCCAAATGTGGGTAACGAGTTTCTGCTCTCATTAAAATTTTACTAACATAATTAATGGGAGATCGTGTACCTTCATTCTCTCGGACTAAAACCGCACTTACCGCAACTTCCGAGACCACAAGATAAACCAGCAATGTTTCACCTTCATTTGGTTTTGAAAGTAATGGAGGGCTTGACAAGTATTTCTTTAAATCCCTCAAAGCCTGCTGGCACTTCGGGGTCCATTCAAAATTATTTTTCTTTTTGAGCAGTGCGAAGAAAAGATGAAACTTTTCTAATGATCAGGAAATGAAACTGGTCAAAGCTGCCAATCTCCCCGTAAGCCTTTAGACTTCCTTCACGTTTGATAGTTGGTCTGAGATATCTTCTATGGCTTAGATCTTATCTAGGTTTACCTCAATTTCCCTTTGTGATACCAGAAATCCTAGAAAGTTGCCAGAGCTGACCCCGAACGCGCATTTCTCGGGATTAAGTTTCATATTATGCTTCCTTAGGATGTCGAAAGTTTCTTGCAGATGTTTAAGATGATCACCTGCATTTAAAGACTTAACGAGCATATCAACTATGTAAACTTCCATAATTTTTCCTATTTGATTTTCAAACATCTTGTTCACGAGCCGTTGATAAGTGGCTCCGACGTTTTTCAACCCGAAGGGCATTACATTGTAGCAATATATACCGAAATTCATTATAAACGAAGTTTTTCATGATCCTCCGGGATCATCTGAATTTTGGTTGTATCCTGAATAAGCATCGGGAAACTCATTAACTTGTGCCCGGCCGTGGAATCAATCATTTGATCAATGTTTGGCAGTGGAAACGAGTCTTTCGGGCATGCCTTGTTAAGATCTTTATAATCTACGCACATGCGAAACTTATTGTTCTTCTTAGGAACTACTACTACATTGGCTAGCCAGTCTGGATATCTTACCTCTCGGATCAAACCGATATTAAGTAAGCGGGTTACCTCTTTTTTGACGAATTTATTCCTGGCTTCGGCAATCGTGCATTTATTTTGTCTTAACGGAGCTATGCTGGGATCCAAGCTTAATTTGTTTACATCTATCTCTATTAGGATGCCTGTCATATCCTCATGCGACCATGTAAAACAATCAGTGTTAGATTTAAGGAATTTAATAAAGTCGGACCTGAGTTGTGGGTGCTGTCCTGTCCCCAAGTGGAATTTCTATTCTAGGAATTCTTCGAACAATGCCACTTGCTCCAACTCTTCCAATGTGGAATTTGTTGCATCGGTCTCTTCTGGAACTTGGAAATATCTCGGCACCTGATAATATTCTGATGCCTCTGCCCCCGGGCTAACTTCATCAAGTTCGGGAGTAGGTACCGGTCCTTGTAATTGCTATGCCGCGTGTTCCTTTCCTTTGCTACTGGAGACCGAAATTGCATTCATCTCCCTTGCCGCCGATTGATCACCCCTT